GGGACCCTAGTATAGGACCCTAAATAATAGGATCCTTATTGCGTGGACCCCTGTAAACGGTACCCTAGTTTTCTCAAACGACCACATCACTCAGCAGGTTCAGGACTGGCCAAGAGGGGGTTTAGGGTTTGGGTTTAGGGTTTTGGGCTTTAGGGTTTTAGGGGTTTAGGGTTTAGGGTTTTAGGGCTTTAGGGTTCAGGCTTTAGGGTTTTAGTGCTTAGGGTTTAGGGGCTTCCGCATCGTCAGGCTTGTGGCTGAGGGTTTACGGCTAAGCTTACGAGGAGGTTCCGGGCTGAAGGTAAAGGATTTGCGACTGTGTTAACGGAAAGCTTAAGCGTAGGTACTGCTGATGGCCGCAAGCCTGCTTCAGGGCGATGCAGGACTTTGTTTGTCAACCGTGCTTCTTGAAGGCCCCAGGGGATTCGATTCTCTGCTCAAGATATGTCCAAGAGTCTAATACTCCCCCCAACACCTCACTGCATTGCACTAGCAACGTAAGCTGGAGAAGCATCAATGACGGAATCTCTCAGGGACATTTGCTTGCTCCTACAGATTCCTCTCAGCATCGTCAGTTCTTCATCTTTGCCAAGCTGCAGGCTGAAAGGTTAGATTTTGCTCAACAAACAGCCTGAAAGTCCGAAGAAGACGACGAGGACGACTCGTAGTGCATTGCTTCTCGCGCCGCATCGAGACCTCGGTGCCCACCGGCTGCAATGTCCTGCAAAAATCGCCCCTCAGACATCTGGCAACAGTGCAGCCAAATCGCGTGTTTCGTTTTTGCCTCTGTTGCTGCTGTCATCTGATGTCCCTGAATTGGTATTGACGCGTGGTGCCACCGAGTCTGCAGAATTTCTGGATCCTCGGGAACCACTCGATTCCACCTGCATCAAGAGGATGATGCCACAATGTGCTGGAGAGCAGGGAATCTATAGGATGCAATCTCAACATACTGGGATCCTGAATATGACCACCACTACATCCCTTAAGAGACCTGCATTCAAAAGACAGTGCTTGAAGGATGGGCTTCGGAGACTTTTGCCACGATCTTCGTTGAGGCTCGTGGCACCCTTGCGCCCCAGTTTTCAACAAACCTTCAAGTCCTGGAAGGCCAAGACAGAATCCGGCAAGATTCTCACTCCAAGATGATAAGTGGTAACACACAGGCCTTCAAGCTGATATAAAGCAACCCTCTAGTATAGTAACCTTGTAGCAACCGTGTAGTAACCCTTGTCCAAGAGAAAGAAGATGCCTGCGTATCGGCAGTCAACGGAGGCGTCCGCGTAGCCGATGTGGAAGACTGACCTTCGCCTGCTAGCATCGTGAGTGCTGGCATCTTCTGTGCGATGATTTATACTGCTAGAGGAATCTGCAATTGAGCAATTTCGAGACCACCTCAATCACGGCTAGATCCTCAGGTCTAAACCTACAAACTAGTTATCGTCAACCAATCAGATATCTATACAAGAACCTGCATGGGGGCCAACTTGATCAAATGTGACTTACCGCAAGTTTCCGCTCGTCTTCTAAGCCTCATTTCGCTTTGAAGTATGCAGCACGAGGATGCAGTGTGTATATACACACATATAGTACCTTCCTACATACATACATACATACATACATACATACATACATACATACATACATACATACATGCATACATACGTTCATACATACATGCATGCACACATTTTATGTGTATATATTAATATGTGTATGTAAAGACATACACATGTGTGTTAATGTGTGCATATATTTTTACGTGCGTTATGTACAACCGATAGTGTATGAGTAAGAGAAAAGTCGCAACCAAGAAGACGTCTACTCACAAGAACGGTCCAGCGGGAAAAGAGAGCTGCCACTCACAATCCTCTAAACAGATGTTTATGTTCAGGGGCTTAGAAATTTTGGCTTCATGGTTTCAGGCTTTTAAGGTTTCAGGTTTGGGAACCGTGAAACCTGAAGCCAAACCGTTGAGCCCTAAACCCTAAACCCTGACCCGTCGTCTTCGGTCGGGGTGCTCTGCTGCTTAATGTACCAGGCATTCTGGTTCTGCTCCAAGTCCTCGGAGCTAGAGTCGGCTGCCTGACGGCTGCGTTTGGGGTTTAGGGTTTAGG